TTTTTCCTTTGTTCAATAAGCGGCAATATAAAATAGAGAACAGGCGATTGTTTTTCACTCATAGCGTAATAAACTCATGGACCCGCCCACCCGCTGAAGCCGTAAATGCCAAGACATTACTTTCGTTTAAAATTTAGCCGGAAAAATCCTCAGGTTTATCGGGGATGGGGGAGGCCTTTGAGCAAGCGCCGACTTCCTGTCCCGTCGAGGCCATCAGAGATGGTCGCCCTCAGGCAAATTCATGTAAAACATGTATGTGTGCATATTAAATATTTTGATTTATTATTTGCAGAATTTAGGATGCAGGATTTAGCTGTTAGCTCTTGGACCCCGCTTTTCTAAGCGTCGGTTGTCTAATATATGTACCGACTCTCGATCTCTTTTCCTCCATCATATCTAAACAACATATATTTTTATCTAACATACACATCCCCAGGATGCAGCCTGTAGCAGCTTTCTAACTTTCAGATTCCAATTTACTGCTAGGTGAATAGGGGCATTAGTGTGTGTGTGTGTGTGTGTGTGTGTACTTACCTAGTTGTGCTTGCGGGGGTTGAGCTCTTGCTCTTTAGTCCCGCCTCTCAACTGTCAATCATCTGATGTACAGGTTCCTTAGCCTACTGGGCTCTGTCATATCTACACCTGAAGCTGAGTATGAAGTCAGCCTCCACCACATCACTTCCTAATGCATTTCATTTGTCTACTACTCTGACACTGAAAAATTCTTTCTAACATCTCTATGCCTCATTTGAGCACTCAGTTTCCACCTGTGTCCCATAGTGCGTGTGCCCCATATGTTAAATAGTCTGTCTTTATCAATTCCTCTGAAAATCTTGTATGTGGTGATCATGTCCCCTCTAACTCTTCTGTCTCCCAGTGACTTGAGGTTTAATTCCCGTAGTCTCTCCTCGCAATTAATTATATTTGTCAATTTAGCTTCATTAAGAATAATTTTGCAGTAAGTAGGATATTTTTAACTGAAAGATTTGTTGTTCTTTACTGTTTCTATAGAAACTGTAATTACCCTTTCTAGTAGACGTCAATCTTTGATATTTGAACTGTTATATACTTACACAAATTTCTAAAGGCAGTTCTTATGTTAGCCAATCTAACATATGCCGCTGATGATATCCTTTTGATGTGGGCCTCTGGGGACAGGTTCGGTATGATATCAACCCCCAGATCTTTCTCTCAATTTGATAAACCTTGAAAAATATAAGTTCGTCCCAAAATTGGGTTTAATAACACATTATCACACGTATTGGGTCTTTCCTTCTTCGTCATTCAAACACTACGGTAAGTTAGTTGTATATGATAATGTAAAAATAGCCACTGAAGTCTGATTAAGACTTTATGACATGTAATCAATGTTTTGCTTCACTACTCACTGGTTGAGTATGAGGTACATAATAAATTAGCCTCCTTCGGCGGCGCCTTATTTCTGAATGTGTTTCAAACTCACACTGTATCTAGTGCTACCCACTCCGTCAACTCAAATTTTGCTACAATGTACCTCTTAACAAATGTTATGTACTCTCACAACCCAATGTACCTTCGTGTATATAAATAAACATATTTCAACTGTAAGGGGTATGGTTTGCGCCTTGTTATTCTAATAATGGATGTCTTCTCTGATAAGAGTTCAATCCCCGACCGTCCAAATGGTTGGGCACCATCCTTCCCTCCCCCCGTGCCATCCCAAATCCTTAACCTGACCCTATCCAAATGCTTACCTGCTTGTTGGGGTTCTGGGAATTCTACTCCCCAAGCCCGGCCCGAGGCCAGACTTGTGAGAGTTTGGTCCACCAGGCTGTTGCTTGGAGCGGCCCGCAGGCCCACATACCCACCTCTGCCTGGTTGGTCCGGCACTCCTTTTTTGAGATATATACAAGAGTTGTTACATTCTTGTACAGCCACTAGTACGCGTAGCGTTTCGGGCAAGTCCTTAATCCTATGGTCCCTGGAATACGATCCCCTGCCGCGAAGAATCGTTTTTTCATCCAAGTACACATTTTACTGTTGCGTTAAACAGAGGCTACAGTTAAGGAATTGCGCCCAGTAAATCCTCCCCGGCCAGGATACGAACCCATGACATAGCGCTCGCGGAACGCCAGGCGAGTGTCTTACCACTACACCACGGAGACTGCCTAAAAGAAGAATTTTTCCTTGAAGAAAACAATCTAGTTTCCTCTTGAACCAAAATAAATGAACTAAACTAACTCCTCTTGAAGATGTCCATGGTTGTTCCGGCAATATTTCTGATGCTCGCTGGTAGGACGTTGAACAACCTGATGTTTATACAATCAATATACAGAGGTCTATATACAATATAGACCTCTGATGCTATATAGTCTTTATGGGTTGGCGCTTTCCTCCCCTGAGAGCTCTCTTCCCTTCCCTTCTCTGATACGAGAGCGCTTTGTTAACAAACAAAGTAATACAAACAGTGCGCTAAGCATTGTTAATGGTTTTTTTTTAGTTTAGTTCATTTATTATGCACCCCATACCCATCCTGTGGGCGGTAGTGGAAAGGGTTACAGAGGCACATAATGGGCTCAGGGACTGAACCCCACAATTCATTTAGCTAAGCAAGTTACAATCTTGATGAGCTAGTTACAAAATTCAATATAAGTCATCACATCAACAATGGGTTCGAGATCGACCTCAAGTACAGGTTCTAAATTAAGCAACTGACATATGTGGAGAGCTAGTGTCAAAATTTATATGTTTGTCCTGCACACCGCCCCCCATCCAGTGGGCAGCGGTGGATAGGTTACAATCACTTAGTTACTACCTACAGTTAGCAAACTGGGGATATTTGGCTAAAATTTCTGGTAGCAGATCATTTTGAATGAAATATTGACACATCGCTGGAACATTGGTTATAGAATTGTCTCTAAATTCACGTATCTTTTCGCACTCCATCACATAGTGACGGAGGGTGTGCGAATAATTTTGTTGACACAGTTTACATTTGGTCAGGTCTACATCAGCAGATAATGAGAATTCCCAGAGATACTTGTAACCGAGTCTAAGCCGAGCAGTAGTAACATCTAGAAGTCTGCTGATTTTATTGGATGATCCATAGATGTGTGGCTCCTCTTGCATGATAGTATGATGATAGATGGAATTACTGGTGTCAATTTCACTTTGCCTCAGATCTACAAGATCTTGTTGAAGTTCTCGGTGTACAGCTGCTCTCAGATTGCTCATTGACAATCCAAGGTTACACTCAACGGCTCCTTTAAAGGCAGATTCTTTGGCTAACTTATCAGCTCTATCATGCATTCGGAGGCCAACATGAGATGGAGACCACATGAAATGGACTCTGTTACCATCCTTAATAATTTTGTTGTATTTGTGTCTAGCTTCGGACACGAGCATGTTACAGTTATGTCTTAAAGAGTTGAGAGCATTTAAGGATGATAAGGAGTCACTTACAATTAATGTATCAAGTTTTGAGACTTGTACACATTTCAGTGCAAGGATCAAGGCAAATAGTTCAGTCTGAAGGGTAGAGGCCCAGTTGTTTATACGGACTCCCCACTCAAAGTATAGGCCATCGCCCATTGTCAGGACAACTGCACTTCCAGCTGCACCCGTGGTGCGGTGTAGGGAACCATCAGTATATATAATTTGAGAGAGAGAATGCTCTGTGGACAGAGCATCAATATGGCTTAAGGCGTTGAGCTTTGCCTCAAGACGAAGCTTGGGCTGATCTCTAATTTGCTTCTTGGGTGGAAAGGGAGGGATTAAAACTGGAAAGGGTGTAACCTCCCACGGTGCAGGAAAGTGCCGTTGTTGTTTCTCTTGGTACAAATCATGAACCTGATACATTCTGAGTTGAGTTCCAGTTTTTGTTATCCATTTGGAACAATGCTGATCTTCAATAAAGAAATTCTGGAGGGCTTCTGTGCAAGGATTAGGATGAGTTAGCCTAAGCATTTTTATACCAATTTGACAGTTAATTTCAGTAACACGATCAACAACGCTCAGAATATTAAGTTCCTTTCTCATATTAAGTATCTTTGTGGTACGAGGGCACCCAAGGATTATCCTCAAGGCTTCGTTTTGCAATTTTTCAAGCCCTCCAAGCTTTCTTTCAGGCATCAAAACAAGCAGAGGTGCAGCATAATCTACTAAAGATCTGATGTATGCAAAGTACATCATTTTGACAATTCTGACATTGGCACCATAGCTTGAGTGATAACCTGCAACAGCCTTGAGAGCTCGGAGCCTCTCTTTAAACTGACGACAGAGTCTGAATACAACAGGACCGTACAGTGGCACCTCAAGGCCAAGGTATTTGAATCTGTTTACATAGTCAAGCTGGGAGCCATCAGACAGTTGCATCTTGCGAACAGCTCCTCCCTGCCTGGGTGGGCGCCGATTTAATATCTTTGTTTTCTCTGCTGAGATAATTAAACCTAGGTCCTGACATGAGTCTAATACAGAGTTAAGAGTGTTCTGCGTGTTAGCATACCCAGTGGTGTGTATCATTATATCATCAGCATAGCTAATGATGTGGACGTTGGGTTTGCTCGGTACAGAGTTTAACAGCGTGTTTATTAAGATATTGAATAAGGTAGGACTGAGGACACCACCCTGCGGGGTGCCTAGTTCAAAGTCTCTTGTTACACTTCTATGCCCCTGGAAAAATACAGATGACTTCCTGTTGGATAAGTAACCCCTGATCCAACAAAGAAGCCGACCACCAATATTCATTCTTGCAAGCTCACTCAAGATAACATGTCTATTTGCAATTAATGGAAGCGCTAATTATATGATGAAGTGTCATGTATTTATTCAGACGAGAACAGCAGCGAACACAAACCAGCGCATATACGAAAAAAAACGGTTTAAATGTACAAACTTTTCAGTGAACGAAGTTGTTTCTAGCCCGGTATCCGAAATTGCAGTATACGACTTGACCAGTCCCCGCCAGGGACCGGTGCCTGGGACCCGGGCCCAGGCTCCAGTGACCACAACAACAAGGCCAGAGATGGCAGTCTTCCCTCTGGCCAAGCTCGGCGCCCTCGTCATTAAACAAGTGGCCAAACCTCTTGCAAACATCGCCAAAACCCGGGCTAAGAATAGCCACTTCTTTAGAACTTATATTTTGATGCCTCCCGCCCAGTGTAAGTAAAAATTAGCAGACGAAAGTACCATAAAAGGCAAGGCACCGGCTCTTTCTGGTGGATATAATAATTATATACAAATTATAGAAAAAATGATTTGCAGTGAGTTCATAATAAATATTTGTATTTTGTTTGAATAAGGATATCTCCACTGAGGTGGACGGGGTCCTTGGGGGGCTGTCTGAGGTACTCCCTGCCCCAAGGTGTTATATTTACCTGAATGTACCTGAGGATCACCAACACTTTAGTGGTCTCGACAAGGACTGGAAGCCAGCGGCTTGTCATATAATAATAATTAGTTTTGTTAGGGACATGCAGCTTGTATGTATGGATGTGTGTATTGAAGGTGTATTCATGTTTTTATTTTGCCCAAAACGTTGTGCATATTAGTGGCTTTAGGTATTGTATGTACTAGCTCTATCTATAAATTAACATTGTTTGTAATTCATCTTCTATGTATGTACTTTTACCTGAATAAACATTTGTATATTTTTTATGTAACTTCAGGTATTACCTGAATTAACTTGAGGGCCACTAACTCTAGTGGCCTCGACAAGGATAGAAAGCTGACGGCTTGTCAAAGGTTCCCCTCATTTGCCCTGACAATTTTTCCAGCCGGGTTTTAAAATTTACCAGTTTTGGAAGTTAGGGCTTAGGTGGGTAGGCAGTTCTATGGGTTAATACCCCCGTGAGTGAAGAAGCATCTCCTATTCTCAGTCTTACATTGTGGCTTCTTGAGCTTGAAACCGTTAATCCTTGTTTGTATTACATCGTACCTTTTGAAGAAATTGTCTGGATCAACATACTCTAATTTGTTCAGTACTGTATTTTAAATTCGCCCTGTCATGCCTGGTTTTTAGTGTTGTTAGTCTTGTGGCCCTCAACCACTCCTGGTACATGAGTTGACTTGGTTCTATAATGATTTTTGTTGCCTGCTGTTGCATATTCTCCAGAGCAGCTATATCCTTTTGAAGTGTAACGTATGATTATGTTCCGTTGTTGAGTAGATTAGATACACAGTATTTAGTGGGTTTTCATATTTATTTAGTAGTCTTGGATACAGCAGTGTCGTTGACGTTGAGATGGAGCTTGGAGCAGAGCAGAGAGCTGAATGAGGCCGGAGCTGTCTGTTCTGTGTCGAAGCTGTAGTGTCTTGGGGTCGATTAGAACTGCATATGCCGAGTGCTACATTCTTGACTGGAAACTGAACTGTCGACTATTCGCAATTCGCTTGGTTATATTCGGTGACTACACCTCAGATTCCTCTACTAGGAGAGGTGGATGGAAGAACAATAGGAGAGGTGGATGGAAGAACTGTTACCTGTAAATAAGGATAGGATTGTAGCTTGTGTAGTTAGTGTTAATTAGTTATGCCATTCAGATAATGAGATAATGGAGATAATAAGATAACAGGACTCCCCCTGCCAGGTTTCAGATTCAGATTCAGATGTTTATTCAGGTAAGGTATATACATACAAGTGATGTTACATTAATGGAATGATATATAGATAGAGCTAGTACATACAATGCCTAAAGCCACTGTTACGCAATGCGTTTCTTGTGTAGTTAGTGTTAATTAGTTATGCCATTCAGATAATGAGATAATGGAGATAATAAGATAACAGGACTCCCCTGCCAGGTAATGAACGAAAAGCAATACAACAAAAAATACGAGGCTACTGTTCCCTGGGTCGCTGTGGAACATGTAGTCCGGTACCAAAAGATGCAGGCAGTGTGTGGACAAGCTCGGTGTAGCAGGAGAGAAGAATGTGCTTGATTGTTGTGTCCTTGGGTCGCTGGTGGAGCATTTAGATCCGTGGTGGATGGGCTCGGGCACCAGGACAATAGGAGGTAATGTAGGCACGTAGGTAGGACAATGAGGAAATCACTGCTAGAGCTGAATTGTCCTGGAGGCGACGAAGAGTCGGAAATGCAAACTGTAAGTCCTGTACTGCACAAGGTGCTTCAGTCGGCAGAGTATCAGAATGCAGTGAACGTGTAGATGAATCTGATGACGACAGAGCAGCTGTTGTGGGAGTCTCTGTAGGACAAGCAATGCCCTGGCAGCGACGGAGAGTCGGCAGGACAGGCTGTAGATCCTACATGATGTAATCATTGATGAAGCTATTAGATGAGTGAGTAACGATCTTGGAACAGCAAGCTGTAGCAGATGAAAATGCAGAGATGATCGCAATGAAAATCATAGCTGTGGCGAGTGTTGGCAGCGTTCCATGACAGGTGGCTGCTGTCCACAGCAAGCAGCAGCAGTAGAGGTCCAGTGAGAGTCCATGTTGTCGTTCATCATGGCTGGGTATCATCGAAACTCTCCGGGGTCACCAATGTAACGTACGATTATGTTACGTTGTTGAGTAGATTAGATACACAGTATTTAGTGGGTTTTCATATTTATTTAGTAGTCTTGGATACAGCAGTGTCGTAGACGCTGAGACGGAGCTTGGAGCAGAGCAGAGAGCTGAGTGAGGCCGGAGTCACAGAGCTCTGTGGGAGAGCATTGTAGCTGGATGTGGTCCTAGTCTGCTGTCTGTTCTGTGAATAGACTGTTACCTGTAAATAGGGATAGGATTGTAGCTTGTGTAGTTAGTGCTAATTAGTTATGCCATTAAGATAATAAGATAATGGAGCGAGTATAAGGTTTACTCGCTACAGAAGATGAGGTCTCCATGCCTGGATACAGTAATTCAAGTGGGGTGCACCAGAGATATATACAGTTGAATCACTACCTACTTTTCTTTAAAGTCAAAAAGTTAAAGGTACGCTTGATTATTCCAAGGGCTTGGTTAGCTTTTTTACAGCTGCCCCTACCTGCTGTACAACTTTCACGGAATGGTGGATTTTGACTCCAAGGTCCTTTTCTTCATCAATCTGCTGCTATGTAATGTTATTAATGTGGCAGTTGTGTATGTGTATATAATTCAATATATACAGTATGTATATATAAGTATATACTGTATATGTATGTGTTAGGCTTATATCAAGGGAACCCTTAAGGGGAAACTACTGACCCTCCCCAGGATACAACCCCACAACAAGCTGACTAACTCCTGGGTACCTATTTACTGCTAGGTGAACAGGTTCATTAGATGATGGGAAATGTGCCCAACTTTATCTGCCTCACCCGGGATTCTAACTCAGGATTCCCAATTGTGAGTCATGAACGAACTCAACTGTACTATCGAGATCAATCCAACCCAGTCTAACCTAAAATAACCTATCAATATACAGTATACAGTTTTTACAATTAAGAATAAATTTTGTAAAAATGCCTTTGTAACTTGTTAGTTAATTTATACCTTTCCTGTTTACTCTGTGAGCTGCATGGGTTTATAGTTGGGTTTTTTCTTGACTCGCATTCAGAAATTCTGGGTTCGAACCCGGGTGAGACAGAAATGGCCGGGCTTGTTTCCTTTCACCTAATGCTACTGTTCACCTAACAGTAAATAGGTACTCAGGGGTTAGTCAACTTTCGTGGCATTGCATTTTGGGGAAGGTCAGTAGTTTGACCTTATGGGTACCTCGATACCAGCCTCGTGTATATACATACACCTGTACACTTCATGGGGTCTATTTCTACTCATCCCAGCTTGGTTATGTGAAACTTTACTGCACTAAATTCCATAAGCATTCATTGTTACTGTACTCATAATTTCTGTGAGGGCACCTTCCATAGCTTCCCCCAAGCTATGGTATACCTGTCATTTAATATACCAAGACTGGTATACCTGTCAGACTTTTAATACCACACCAGACTAACAATCCATGAGTACATACCAGAGACCAGTACTGGAATCTGCTCCACTCAACAGAGGGAAAGGGGAGTCTGTGGATCTAGGATTATCACAGTATCAAAGAGCAAATACAACTAGAAAGGTACTGTAAAGTGAACCAAAAACAGGCCTGAAAAAAAATTCACCAGGTCTGATGCCGGGTGCTGAGTTTAAGGTTAAGATTAAGATTTTTATTCAGGTAAAGTTACATACATTGAGTTCCCATGTGGGATCTTCACATCTTTTCCCTCCCTATCTTAAGCTTCCACAGTTTGCTTCTTTTCTTTCCATTGTGAGATAGCTGCCAATTAATGAGTCACAATAATGTGGCTGATGATATGATGAATCATATCTTCAGCCACATTATCACTCAGTTTGAAAGCTCCAGGAAGGACCGAAACATCATTGTTTCTCCACTGTGTGGTTTGGTCATCATAGTTGCCAAGGGGGGCCCTCCCAGAAAATGAGCATTGAATGTAATGAAACACTTCCTTCTGGCAGGTCCCATGGTAGCTCCTCTTTTCATGTTCTGCATTTCTTCCTCTGAGTTTGGGGGTAGTAAGTTGAAGCAGTGAGTGAATGATGTGGTTGGTTTTCCAGGGCTCTGAATGGCCCACTTCCCTAAGAGTTAAGAGTTAGCCTTACATCTGGATTAGCAGGAATGTTTACCAGGAAAGTCCAAAAATTAACATTCAGTAAGTATCCGTAAATTTTTGTATCACAACCAACATAATCCACATTTTCTCATGCAATAAACATAAATTTACATGTTTGCTGGAGGCTCTTCATATAGTCATATGGCACTCAAATACTTTAATGACAATTGAAATTGTTTAACTTATCATGTTGGAGTTTATAAGGTTGTTCGATGAAAGGTTTCAATATTTATAATTGATCTTTTAACTAAAACAGTAATAAAATTATTATATGTGAGCTTTTGATTTCCCTATATCACAGATGGTACTCACACCTATACCAATATTTTTCGGACACGCAGCAAAACGGCCACATTCATAAAAGTTCAATCACTCATACCTAATCTTTAAGGAATAGTATAACTTGTGTCTTCTTAGCCCCTCATGCCAATTGCTGCTGCTACTAGACATAGTCTTAGCAAAAAATTATCCAAGTTTATATCAGAGCAAAAAATGCTGGATAATAAAATCTTTCAGTAATGGAGCAGCACTGCAGAACTGCATTTCTCAACCAGGGTTC